CTGCTTGTCAGTTTTGATGTGGTGTCCTTGTTCACCAAAGTCCTGGTACCTGACACCATCGCTATCATTGAAGACCTGGTTCATCAAGGACTGCATACTCATGTACCCCCCTGGTGAGACATTGCTTAACCAACACATACTTCACCTGGAATGGAACTTTCTACAAACAAACTGAGGGCACCCCGGTTGTAGCCAACGTATTCATGGAAAAATTTGAAACTGACGCCATCCAGACTGCCACTCTACGCCCGACCTTATGGAAGAGGTACGTGGATGACACCTTTGTCATCTGGCCACATGGCCAGCCTGCTCTAGACCAATTCCACGACTATATCAATTCCATACACCCAGCCATCAGATTTACCATGGAGGTCGAAAAAGATGGCAAACTACCCTTTTTGGATGTCTTAATTAAAAGGAGACATGATGGTTCAATGAGCCACTCTGTCTACAGGAAAGCTACCCATACAGATGCTTACTTGAAACCGGATTCCCACCACCATCCATCCCAGAAGAACTCCCTCATCAAGACCCCATACCATAGAGCCCAATGCATTTCCGACCAGGAACACATTACCAGTGAACTCAAGCACGTACACCAGGCTCTCAGGGCTAATGGTTACTCCGACTACACAATCCGCAAAGCCATCACTCCAGTCATGAAGAAGGATCCTCTTGTGGAGCCACTCAAAACCATCACCTTACCCTACATTGCAGGGGTCACTAAAAAGATCTCCAAAATCCTGAATAAACACAAGATCCAGGTCCGATTCAACACAGTACATAAAATCCGTGATCTAGTTCCATCTGTAAAAGATGCTGTTCCAGACATACAGTACCCGGGCGTTTACAAACTAAAGTGCCTCTGTGGTAGTAGCTACATTGGAGAAACCAAACGACATATCTCAGACCGCATCCGCGAATATAAAGCAGACTTGAAACACGGTAGAACAAACTCCTCTGCCGTGGCAGATCACTGTTATAATTCAGTGGGCTCACATGACATTGACTTCTCCAAGACGGAGGTTCTTTGCAAACCAACCGGCTACCATGAGAGATTCGTTCATGAGGCCATTCACATATACAAGCACAGAGACAATTTCAACCGAGAAGATGGATTCTGGCTTAGTAACCATTGGAAAGATGTTTTAAACCATTTCCGTTCTTAATTAATTGTATTTTACGATGACCTTCAGACCGCAGCTCTTTCGCTGGCATTGACTCTTAATACCTCTCACACCACGGTTAATGGTATGGTTTACAACATGGAGTATAACAGCGCCTCGCAGCTGTCTCTCTCCCCCTCCTCTGTTCCGACCATGGATGAACTCGTCCGTCTGAACGGGGCCCGTAGCTATCCGTGTTGCTAAAGTTGAGGGTAAGAATCCACCCATTTTTTCGCCATATAGCATTGTGATATATAACGACTTATTGTTGGCAGCTTAGCTGATTGGAGAATATATAGATTTTATTGATAACATTGAGGTAATTTATATTTTAGTTTTTTATTGGTTCACTATATAGTATTGTATATAGTATTGTAGTGTATACCCAGTTACTGTGAATAGCTCAGATGTGTAGGCTATGACTCCAACATAACCATTTCTGTGACGAGTCACAAGCTAATCACTCAGTTATTTCAATGTTAGATTCTCCTAGTTATTTCAATGCTAAATTCTCCTGTTTGATTTGTACTAGGTGCCTCTGTGAATGTGTATGCTTTAACTTTAACATAGCCATTTCTGTGACCAGTCACAAGCTAATCACTCAGCTATTTCAATGCTAAATTCTATGCTAATGCCTTTGTCAAGGCGCTTTGTTTCTTCTCACACAGCTTAAAGGTCGCGATCTGAGCATGGCTTTTTCGCTCCAGCGCTGTCCTCTAGTCTCGCCCCTTCACCTGATGAAGGCCGCTTGTGTTGTGGCCGAAACGTCGTGAGAATTTTATTGTGTTATTTTATTTTATCAATTCATTATTTTATTCTCATTCTACGTGACTTTACCGAAAGAACCAAAGAAGATGAATCCTTGCAGTCACGAAAGTTTTAAATCGAAACTCTCTCTACCTCGTTCTCTACCTCTCTCTCTACCTCGTTCTCTACCTCTCTCTACCTCCTTCTCTACCTCGTTCTCTACTTTTCTCTACCTCGTTCTCTACCTCGTTCTCTACCTCTCTCTCTACCTCGTTCTCCACCTCGTTCTCTACCTCGTTCTCTACCTCGTTCTCTACCTCTCTCTCTACCTCGTTCTCTGCCTCGTTCTCTACCTCCTTCTCTACCTCTCTCTCTACCTCGTTCTCTACCTCCTTCTCTACCTCTCTCTCTACCTCTCTCTACCTCGTTCTCTACCTCGTTCTCTACCTCGTTCTCTACCTCGTTCTCTACCTCTCTCTCTCTACCTCGTTCTCTACCTCTCTCTCCACCTCCTTCTCTACCTCGTTCTCTACTTCTCTCTACCTCGTTCTCTACCTCGTTCTCTACCTCGTTCTCTACCTCTCTCTCTACCTTGTTCTCTACCCCTCTCTCTACCTCTCTACCTCGTTCTCTACTTCTCTCTACCTCTCTCTCTACCTCGTTCTCTACCTCTCTCTCTACCTCGTTCTCTACTTCTCTCTACCTCGTTCTCAACCTCGTTCTCTACCTCTCTCTACCTCGTTCTCTACCTCCTTCTCTACCTCGTTCTCTACTTCTCTCTACCTCGTTCTCAACCTCGTTCTCTACCTCTCTCTACCTCGTTCTCTACCTCTCTCTACCTCCTTCTCTACCTCGTTCTCTACTTCTCTCTACCTCGTTCTCTACCTCGTTCTCTACCTCTCTCTCTACCTCTCTCTACCTCGTTCTCTACCTCGTTCTCTACCTCTCTCTCTACCTCGTTCTCTACCTGTCTCTCTACCTCTCTCTCTACCTCGTTATCTACCTCCTTCACTACCTCGTTCTCTACTTCTCTCTACCTCGTTCTCTACCTCCTTCTCTACCTCTCTCTCTACCTCGTTCTCTACCTCGTTCTCTACCTCGTTCTCTACCTCTCTCTCTACCTCTCTCTCTACCTCGTTCTCTACCCAGTTCTCTACCTCTCTCTCTACCTCGTTCTCTACCTCGTTCTCTACCTCTCTCTCTACCTCGTTCTCTACCTCGTTCTCTACCTCTCTCTCTACCTCTCTCTCTACCTCGTTCTCTACCTCGTTCTCTACCTCTCTCTCTACCTCGTTCTCTACCTCGTTCTCTACCTCTCTCTCTACCTCGTTCTCTACCTCTCTCTCTACCTCGTTCTCTACCTCGTTCTCTACCTCGCTCTCTACCTCGTTCTCTACCTCGTTCTCTACCTCTCTCTCTACCTCGTTCTCTACCTCTCTACCTCTCTCTCTCTAACTCTCTCTACCTCGTTCTCTACCTCGTTCTCTACCTCGTTCTCTAACTCTCTCTCGAGACGTCCAGCAGCAGCAGGCCAGCAAGATGGTGCCCCCGGTGCAAGCGTCTCCACTGTGTAAGACGGCACCACTCTGCACTGGGACTTTGTCTCGTGTCTACGACTCCGTCAGATTGGCACGGCTGAAGCTCATCGCGCTAGAGGAGAAGCGGCGGATAGAGGAGGAGGAGCGGCACAAGCGGGAGGAGGAGGCAGAACGGACCGCATGCGAGATCGCTGCCGCACCTGAAGACGCAATCCCCAAGTGACAACTTGTAGTAGAGGCGGTGAAGTGCAGAGAAGCGAGAGACGCTCAGGGCACACACGGCACAGCAACATTGCACGGCGCAGGACGGACTTGCTAGGCAAGACGCCAACAACACGGCGCACACATCTGAGGTACAAACACAAGAATGTACACAGAGTACACAAACAGCATGCTTATCCGGCAGGATGATTGGGGCCGTCCATAAATGACGTCACGCGATTTTGGACGATTTTTTTTACCCCCCCCCCCCCCTCGTCACACGGCGTCACAAAAAGTCAGACCCCCCCCTTCAAATATGACGTCACAAAGCTCTGCCCCCCCCCCCCAACGATATTTCCATTTTGAAAATAAAACATGCTTCAAATCGCTTTAAACTATTGTCATTGTTGTGCGTATTTAATGTGGCGCTGCACTCTGATGTTGTAGGAGACAACATTTATTAAAAAGTCTATTTAATTAAGTAGAACGTGTTGTCTATATTTAAAGTTGCGCATTTTGATGTGACGTCACATTTCTCACCCCCCCCCCCTCGTCACACATCGTCACAAATGTCTGACCCCCCCCCCCCCCAGGTGCGTGACGTCATTTATGGACGGCCCCATTCACACTGGCGATTCTACAAGCACTCGACAAGACACCCTGAGATCGCTCCCACTCCACATTGACATTTGTCTTCTAAGTCTGTCTCCCTCATTGTGAGCTGTAAGGTTCGTCTGTTAGGACGTCAATAACGTGGAGTAATGTCTCTAACCCATCTCTCTCTCTAACTCACTCGCTAACTCTCACTCACTAACTAACTCTCTCTCTATCTCTCTCTCTAACTCGCTCGCTAACTCTCTCTCTCTAACGCTCTCACTAACTCTCTCTCTCTAACTCACTCGCTAACTCACTCACTAACTCTCTCACTCACTCACTAACTCTCTCTCTCTCACTCACTAACTCTCTCACTCACTCACTAACTCTCTCACTCACTCACTAACTCTCTCTCTCTAACTCACTCGCTAACGCTCTCTCTCTATCTCTCTCACTCACTAACTCTTGCTCTATCTCTCTAACTCTCTCACTCACTCACTAACTCTCTCTCTAACTCTCTCTCTCTAACTCTCTCTCTCACTCACTAACTCTCTCTCTATCTCTCTCACTAACTCTCTCACTCACTAGCTCTATAACTCACTAACTCTCTCTCTAACTCTCTCTCTAACTCACAAACTCTCTCACTAACTCTCTCACTCACTAACTAACTCCCTCTCTAACTCTCTCACTCACTAACTAACACTCTCTCTAACTCTCTCTGTCTCTCACCCCCCCCCCTCTCCGCGTGACTCACAAAGCGCAGCACGAGGCCCTGGCAGGCGTGGTGCTTCAGCAGGCTCAGCAGGAACTTGAGGCCTCCACAGTCCACGAAGGTCTGACCTGTGACCAGAGAGAGAGGAGAATCAGACTCAGAGGTTCCTCCAATCCACCCGATACACGCACCGTGGTACCCCTCCACACACCACTTACACAGACACATACACCATATACACGCACACCATGTACACACAAACACACCATGTACACATACATACCATGTACACACACCATGTACACGCACACACCATGTACACATACACACCATGTACACACACACCATGTACACACACACCACGATAGCCCTACACACACCACGATAGCCCTACACACACCACTACACAGACACATACACCATATACACACACACCACGTACACAGACACACACACCACGTACACACACCATGTACACACACCATGTACACAGACACACATCATATACACACACACACCATGTACACACACACACCACGATACCGCTACACACACCACTACACACACACACCATATACACACACACCATGTACACATACACACCATGTACACACAAACCACGATACCCCTACACACACCACGTACATACACACACACACCATATACACACACCATGTACACACACCATGTACACACACACCATGTAAACACAAACACACCATATGCACACACACCATGTACACACAAAAACCATGTACACACACAAACCGCGTACACACACCACCTCACCCCCTCACCCCTCAACCCCTTACCACCGCCTCCCCCTCACCACTCTCACCACCGCTCCCCTCACCACCGCCCCCCTCACCACCTCACCACCTCACCCCCTCACCACCGCCCCCTCACTAGAGAGAGTGAATCTCAATGGCTCTCACCTGGTTGAATAAAGGATTCACTCACTAGATGTAGTGAGGTAAATGGTTCCCACCTGGTGAAATAAAGGAGACTACTCTCAGTAGAGATAGCGAATCTAAATAGCTCCCGCCTGGTTAAAGAAGTAATTCACTGCATCGAGTGAATCTCAATGGCTCTCGCAGGATTACATAACGGAGTTACTCACGAAAGATGGTGAATCGCAATGGCTCTTAACTGGTTAAATAAAGGAGTCATTCAATCTGGACAGTAAATCTTAATGGCCCATATCAGTAGAGTGTGAATCTCAACATCTCTCGCATGGTTAAAAACATTAACTATTCACTAAAGATAGTGAATGTTAAAGGGTAAATAAAGGAATCGCTCAATAGAGACAGTTCATCTAAATAACTCCCACCTGGCCAAATAATTAATTAATTCGCTAGGAATGATCTCAGGGGCTCCAATTTAGCACGCTGAGGCCACTCTGGGTAGAGTGAATCTCAGTGTTTCCCTCTGAGTGGAGACAGTGAATGTCCCCAGTGGCTGAATAGAGACAGTGAATGTCCCCAGTGGCTGAGTGGAGACAGTGAATGTCCCCCAGTGGCTGAGTGGAGACAGTGAATGTCCCCCACTGCCTGAGTGGAGACAGTGAATGTCCCCCAGTGGCTGAGTGGAGACAGTGAATGTCCCCACTGACTGAGTGGAGACAGTGAATGTCCCCCAGTGGCTGAGTGGAGACAGTGAATGTCCCCACTGGCTGAGTGGAGACAGTGAATGTCCCCCAGTGGCTGAGTGGAGACAGTGAATGTCCCCACTGGCTGAGTGGAGACAGTGAATGTCCCCACTGGCTGAGTAGACACAGTGAATGTCCCCGAGTGGCTGAGTGGAGACAGTGAATGTCCCCCAGTGGCTGAGTGGAGACAGTGAATGTCCCCACTGGCTGAGTGGAGACAGTGAATGTCCCCACTGGCTGAGTGGAGACAGTGAATGTCCCCACTGGCTGAGTGGAGACAGTGAATGTCCCCAGTGGCTGAGTGGCCACAAGACGGAATCCGTCTCCCCCTCCACCCCGCGTGTGAGGAGCGACCGCGCTGCTGCTGCTGGTGGCGGTACTGGTGGTAGTGGTAGTTATAGTAGTTAGGTAATGGTGGTAGTGGTTGTAGTGGTAGTTATAGTAGTTAGGTAATGGTGGTAGTGGTGGTAGTGGTGGTAGTTATAGTAGTTAGGTAATGGTGGTAGTGGTTGTAGTGGTAGTTATAGTAGTTAGGTAATGGTTGTGGTAGTGGTTGTAGTGGTAGTTATAGTAGTTAGGTAATGGTGGTTGTGGTAGTGGTTGTAGTGGTAGTTATAGTAGTTAGGTAATGGTGTTTGTGGTAGTGATTGTAGTGGTAGTTATAGTAGTTAGGGGATGGTGGTTGTGGTAGTGGTTGTAGTGGTAGTTATAGTAGTTAGGTAATGGTGGCGGTAGTGGTTGTAGTGGTAGTTATAGTAGTTAGGTAATGGTGGTTGTGGTAGTGGTTGTAGTGGTAGTTATAGTAGTTAGGTAATGGTGGTTGTGGTAGTGGTGGTAGTGGTAGTTATAGTAGTTAGGTAATGGTTGTGGTAGTGGTTGTAGTGGTAGTTATAGTAGTTAGGTAATGGTGGTAGTGGTTGTAGTGGTAGTTATAGTAGTTAGGTAATGGTGGTTGTGGTAGTGGTTGTAGTGGTAGTTATAGTAGTTAGGTAATGGTGGTTGTGGTAGTGGTTGTAGTGGTAGTTATAGTAGTTAGGGGATGGTGGTTGTCGTAGTGGTTGTAGTGGTAGTTATAGTCGTTAGGTAATGGTGCTTGTGGTAGTGGTGGTAGTGGTAGTTATAGTACTTAGGTAATGGTGGTGGTAGTGGTTGTAGTGGTAGTTATAGTAGTTAGGTGATGGTGGTTGTGGTAGTGGTTGTAGTGGTAGTTATGGTAGTTAGGTAATGGTGGCGGTAGTAGTTGTAGTGGTAGTTATAGTAGTTAGGTAATGGTGGTTGTGGTAGTGGTTGTAGTGGTAGTTATAGTAGTTAGGTAATGGTGGTTGTGGTAGTGCTTGTAGTGGTAGTTATAGTAGTTAGGTAGTGGTGGTTGTGGTAGTGGTTGTAATGATAGTTATAGTAGTTAGGTAATGGTGGCGGTAGTGGTTGTAGTGGTAGTTATAGTAGTTAGGTAATGGTGGTTGTGGTAGTGGTTGTAGTGGTAGTTATAGTAGTTAGGTAATGGTGGTTGTGGTAGTGGTGGTAGTGGTAGTTATAGTAGTTAGGTAATGGTTGTGGTAGTGGTTGTAGTGGTAGTTATAGTAGTTAGGTAATGGTGGTAGTGGTTGTAGTGGTAGTTATAGTAGTTAGGTAATGGTGGTTGTGGTAGTGGTTGTAGTGGTAGTTATAGTAGTTAGGTAATGGTGGTTGTGGTAGTGGTTGTAGTGGTAGTTATAGTAGTTAGGGGATGGTGGTTGTCGTAGTGGTTGTAGTGGTAGTTATAGTCGTTAGGTAATGGTGCTTGTGGTAGTGGTGGTAGTGGTAGTTATAGTACTTAGGTAATGGTGGTGGTAGTGGTTGTAGTGGTAGTTATAGTAGTTAGGTGATGGTGGTTGTGGTAGTGGTTGTAGTGGTAGTTATGGTAGTTAGGTAATGGTGGCGGTAGTAGTTGTAGTGGTAGTTATAGTAGTTAGGTAATGGTGGTTGTGGTAGTGGTTGTAGTGGTAGTTATAGTAGTTAGGTAATGGTGGTTGTGGTAGTGCTTGTAGTGGTAGTTATAGTAGTTAGGTAGTGGTGGTTGTGGTAGTGGTTGTAATGATAGTTACAGTAGTTAGGTAATAGTGGTTGTGGTAGTAGTGGTAGTTATAGTAGTTAGGTAATGGTAGTGGTAGTAGTGGTAGTTATAGTAGTTAGGTAATGGTGGTTGTGGTAGCGGTTGTAGTGGAGTTATACTAGTTATGTAATGGTGGTTGTAGTGGAAGTTATAGTAGTTAGGTGATGGTGGTTGTGGTAGTGGTAGTAGTTATAGTAGTTACGTAGTGGCGGTTGTGGTAGTGGTTGTAGTGGTAGTTATAGTAGTTAGGTAATGGTGGTAGTGGTTGTAGTGGTAGTTATAGTAGTTAGGTAATGGTGGTTGTGGTAGTGGTTGTAGTGGTAGTTAAAGTAGTTAGGTAGTGGTGGTTGTGGTAGTGGTTGTAGTGGTAGTTATAGTAGTTAGGTAATAGTGGTTGTAGTGCTAGTTATAGTAGTTAGCTAGTGGTGGTTGTGCTAGTAGTGGTAGTTATCGTATTTAGGTAATGTTAGTGGTGGTACTGGTTGTATTGGTAGTTATAGTAGTTAGGTAATTTTGGTGGTGGTAGTGGTGGTAGTTATAGTAGTTAGGTAATGGTGGTTGTGGTAGTGGTTGTAGTGGTAGTTATAGCAGTTAGGTAATGGTGGTTGTAGTGCTAGTTATAGTAGTTAGGTAGTGGTGGTTGTGCTAGTAGTGGTAGTTATCGTATTTAGGTAATGTTAGTGGTGGTACTGGTTGTATTGGTAGTTATAGTAGTTAGGTAATTTTGGTGGTGGTAGTGGTGGTAGTGGTAGTTATAGTAGTTAGGTAATGGTGGTTGTGGTAGTTTTTGTAGTGGTAGTTATAGTAGTTAGGTAATGGTTGTGCTTTTGGTAGTAGTGGTAGTTATAGTAGTTAGGTAGTGGTGGTTGTGGTAGTGGTTGTAGTGGTAGTTATAGTAGTTAGGTAATGGTGGTTGTGGTAGTGGTTGTAGTGGTAGTTATAGTAGTTAGGTAATGATTGTGGTAGTGATTGTAGTGGTAGTTATAGTAGTTAAGTAATGGTGGTAGTAGTAGTGGTTGTAGTGGTAGTTATAGTAGTTGGGTAATGGTGGTAGTGTTTGTAGTGGTAGTTATAGTAGTTAGGTAATGGTGGTGCTGGTCATAGTGGTAGTTATAGTAGTTAGGTAGTGGTGGTTGTGGTAGTAGTGGTAGTTATAGTAGTTAGGTAATGGTGGTTGTGGTAGTGGTTGTAGTGGTAGTTATAGTAGTTAGGTAATGGTGGTGGTGGTAGTAGTGGTAGTTATAGTAGTTAGGTAGTGGTGGTTGTGGTAGTGGTTGTAGTGGTAGTTATAGTATTTAGGTAATAGTGGTTGTGGAAGTAGTGGTAGTTATAGTAGTTAGGTAATGGTGGTGGTGGTAGTAGTGGTAGTTATAGTAGTTAGGTAGTGG